GTCTGAGCAAGGATTCTTACGGAAGTTTCTTGTTATAAAATTGGTTATTAAGTGCTTTAAGTGTATTTTGGACCAATTCGCTTTCACAGTTTTTTTTTCAGGATGTCTGTAGCCGGTGTAAAGTTAAATCCGGCAATAGCTAAGCCTACTAGTAATGGTCAGGTTCATTGCATCGTCTGCAACACTCAGGTTAGTTTCCTAAGCATGATTTTTTTGTTCAAGTTGTTATCATTTCTAAGTACAAACGGAAACTCACTTATCAGTTTGCAGTCAAACTTTTAATGTGAATTTCGATCTGCTTTTGGTTTTGTTAATCTGTCGGCCACAAATTAAAAACTTGTTTTCAAAGTATCACGTTCATATATGGAATCGCTTTTTTTTGCTAGGTTGCAGTACTTTTTATTATAGAATAAAATTCCGTACATAGTAAAAATCTACAATTTTTAGACATGCCATCCATTTCAATTTACAATGCTTTAAAAAAAATTTTTGTAAAGATGTATCTTTTCATTTGATTTGTGAGGTCATTATTTATTATTAATTGTTCCAGTGTTACATATCTATATATTATTTTGCGTTTTTTTTCTAGAACTGTAGTTGCTCTGCTACTTTGTCTAGATATGCAAAATTGTTATTGGACAAAAATGCTCATAGTTTTTATATGTAGGTATATGTTCATTTAGAAAATTGTCGATACAAAATCATTCAAATTAAAACAAGGCTTGTCTTTTCGTATCGAATTTTTTTAAAGGTTAAACCGAAAGTATGGACAGCTCACGTGAATGGAAAGAAACACAGAGACGCATGCGAGCGGCTAAAACAACAGCTGGCATCTGGCCCAAAACGACCAAGCGATGCCATATCTGCTCAAAATGGTGCTCCTCCGGTGAAGAAGACACGAGGTACGCCTTTCCGCCTTTTTTCGAGTAAAACTATGCATGTCATTTCCAGAAGACCCTCAACCTGCCCCTTCATCCAATGGTTTTCTACCTTCCGACTTCTTTGATGAAGAGCCTGGATTGAGGTTAGGAGTTTTCTAGACCAGTTAAGTCTTTAA